CCATATTTTCGTCGTGGCAAATTTTGAGTCGAGCTTCCTTAGGAATTCGTCAGTTTTAAGAGAAAAATCCAACTTGACGTAAAATAAAGAAACATGAACGCTCGCCAAATAAAAGACGCGGTTGAAAGACAAAGGGAGAGAGAGAGAGAGAGAGAGAGAGAGAGAGAGAGAGAGAGAGAGAGAGAGAGAGAGAGAGAGAGAGAGAGAGAGAGAGAGAGAGATAAACATATATACATGAATATATATATATATATATATATATATATATATATATATATATATATATATATATATATATATATACACGTGTGTGTGTGTGCATACATACACACACACACATAGATAAATAGATAGATAGATAGGTATAGATATACATATACATACATATATGTATATGTATATGTGTGTGTGTGTGTGTGTGTGTGTGTGTGTGTGTGTGTGTGTGTGTGTGTGTGTGTGTGTGTGTGTGCGTGCGCGTGTGTGCATACGTGTGTGCCTTCCTTTCCCTTGCCTTTTCCCCCAGAGGCTGGTCTCCCTGAGCCCGCTGGACCATGTCATGAGGCTCAACCATCGCCGTCTCAGTCCCTGAAAGTTGCCTTCCTGGTGTCTTACGTGTTACAGCGGTGACGGAGAGAACGTGCGTTAAAGTGAGTGTCAGCGCTTCAGTCTCCTTTGAGCCAGAACTTCAGTCTAACTTTCATGGGAATTTGGTCTTCTTCAGCCTCACTCTGGACCTCGTGATCTCGAGGTCACAGTCACTTCCTATTTCTTTTTGCTTATATCTCCTGAGACTGTTCTGGCTTGGGATTTGTATAGATGAGTATGGTTGTATGCCTGTGTGCACACACACACACACACACACACACACACACACACACACACACACATATATATATATGTGTGTGTGTGTGTGTGTGTGTACGTGCGCGTGTGTATATATATGTATATATATATATATATATATATATATATATATATATATATATATATATATACATATATATATACATATATATATGTGTGTATGTACATACACATATACATATATATATGGGGAAGGGGAGTAGACACATTCATAACAGTTTTTCAGGCGGGTTTCTACTCTCCTCCCACACACAGGTATGTTAAGCGCTGGTTATTAAGAATCTAACTTTGCCCGGAAACTGAAGGTTGTAATGCTTAATAGGTGAAGTAATATATATTTTGAATCCACATGAATTGAACTGTGACAATTAAGACGGGTTTCTGCTCTTCTCCCACGCACACAGAGACATAGAAAGGTTGAGGAAAATAAGGCAACGCCAACACACCCATGTTTACCGCTAGCCGTTGTTGTTAGTATATATCTAGTTATCATTATTATTATTATTATGATTATTATCATTATATATATTTCTTTTATCTTTTTTCTTGCTTCTGTTACAGCAGCGGAATTAGTGAAAGAAGACAATTCCGATTGTTTCAAGGAATAAATAGGGAAAAGAACAATAGATCAAAGTAAAGAGAGGGAAAAGAAAATCGTGAAGGATGTTCAAGTAGGGGTGGAGGACAAGAACTAATAATTCGTAATGTATTGATAGTCTTTCCTTCATTTTCAACTACAAGTCCACGCAAAATGGGGGAATGTTTCTTTGAAAAACTTGACGTCGCCCGCTGCGACAAACGCCCTAATCAGTCAAGATTGTTAGATATTTTGCCCTTACCTATTTACCTTACCCCCCCCCACACACACACACACACACATACACACCTCACCCGTAGTGGTTCAGTGATAGAACGTTTGGCCGAACAAGCGTTTCGTTGACGGTCCTTTTGTCGCAAGGACTCGCACCGCTCCCCGCCATCCTCACCAAGCTGTCATTAAAATAGCCGACGCAGCAGACAGTGGAGGATGTTGCCTGCAGGTGAGAATTGGTGGTCGAGGTCACCTCCGTTTCCCCGGCTCTTTTCCGATGATCGTTGACTGTCTTGAGCGACACATTGCGGCCGCAATCAGGAGAGTGCGAGTGATTGGCTGGAAATCCGATGAATACGCCTCCAGTGCGTTAATGCGCCCTTCCTCTTGTTGACCGTGTAGATGTAGCCATCAGGCAGAAGCTTTTGCCTGCTCTCTTCGTGGAAATTGCCTCCATTGCGAGCATACCTCATCCACAAGCGAGGCTGTTTATATACGCCAAAAAGAGCAACTTGGTAGGTCAGCAAATCAGAAGTGCAGACCAGTCGAGCCTTTGCGCTGTAGACGGATTTCGCGCCGAAGTGAGCAACGCCAGACATTTCGTCCAAAATCTGGCCAAGCATACTTAGCCACAGCTGTCTTATTTTTGGTCGAGCAACGTAATGCATGTTTATTTCAAAGCTCGTGTTGTGCCCTTTTCGATTGAGATGAAATAAAACTCCTGAATTCACTCTTGGATTGATACTAGTACTACTGCTACTACACTCACACAATATTGATAATAATGATAATAAAAAATAAAGACAAAATATTAATAATAATGATAAATAATGATAATGATAATGATAATAATAATGATACTACTACTACTACTACTACTAATGATGATGATAATAATAAGAATAACGATAATAAGAACACAAAAATAACGATCATGTAAATGATAATGATGATACTAATATTGATAATACTACTAATGATAACAATAATAACAAAGATAACAATAATGATAGTAATGGTGATGGTAATTCAGTAATGATAAATACAATAATTATAAAATAACAATGACAATGATAAGGATGATATTGATGATAATAATAACAGTAAGAATAACAAGTATAATACAACAACTATAGTAATTATAATAGCAACGTCCGCTCATGTACTGCAGTGGTTCGGACGCTGTAAATAGCGGCGTTAGTACGTCATAAAGAGTAGGTCGCTGAAAAGGTATTAAATCCTAATTATATGTCGAAGGAATGACTGGTGGACTCTCAGATGCAGGGATTTGTGTTCACAGAATATAGCAGATAAAATTAATATTCATTATCTTGGAAAAGTCTCCAGCTGACAACTATTCAAATGGCCTAGATTAACTACTGGGCATCATTCAACGCTCTATTGTGGTCGATGAGAACCATGGAGAGATAAGTGTCACGGCATTCTCATTAGCTTGGCATTCTCTTCCTCTTACAGTGCAAACGGCGACCCATCCGCCATGCAGAAAGTGCCACCCTACCCACCCTTGCCGACAGGTTTTAGTCTCTCCCTCGCGATTTCCGGTCCTTGGTGCCCTGGATCAGCTGATCCTTTATCACATCCAGATGAAAAACAAGACCTTCCTCCGTCCTGCGTGTGCCCAGATAAGGAGACCGATCATGATACTGTTGACAGTTATGCAAAAGAACTAGTCAAGTACAATCTGGTTCGGATGTCAACAATGAGCAAACTGGCAAGGTCCTTATAAGATGATAAATATGACCGATATGGAATCAAGAACGCATATGGATTCGAGTGTCTATCAGAATGTGTGTAAAAGGTTATCTGATCTTCTGCTGTATAGCAAAGGGCATTCGATTAATGTTATCTTCTTACAAGAACCACTGACTCACCGAGCGAAAAACAGGTCTCGAAACTTTGCGAATATGTTCCTGCTTTCTCAACAAAATGAAGTATGTGTGTGTGTGTGTGTGTGTGTGTGTGTTTTCTGTTTTTTTTTCTTCTTTTTAGCGGTCTTGTGCGCGAAAAACTGTCAGCTCTCCAGTTGTGCAATATGGAATCGAGATCTGGTCTAATAATCACAGATGTTTCCCTGGAATTCACAGCAATATGCAAACTATATTTTGTCCCAGAATTGATTTGTGGGTCTAGCACTATCGTAAATATATATTGGATGTACTAAATATAATAATTCTTAAGAGTTACCCATTTATGATTCTTCTCATTCGACACTTACAGTTTAAATTCCAGAGAAAAATAACGAATCAGTATTATAATTACAGTACCATTAAAAATCTCAATAATGATTTAATATCAGCTTTAGCCATCATAAGTTGTCACCTGCTGTAATACTTGCACAATAAAGAAAAGTCCTCTTTTGAACTCCCAAACGCCAAGCAAATCCTTTCTTATTCAGTGTACTGCTCGCACTCTGCATAATAGCAGAGTAAAAGGAGCTTTCATGTATAAGTTGACTACTCTTACGCAGATGATATTGCCTACCATTTCACTTCCCAAGAGCTTCTAATTACTCTCAGAAAAAGCAATTTCATTGCTCCTTAAATGGACGGTAAAGCATATGGTATAGTTCCAGAGCGCCCAGATAATGAAAATTCAGCAATGAATCAATTAACACGTCCATAGTCCTTTGTTTAACCTCTTGGCCTACTCAACAGTACCAGAGTCATGAATTTTGGATCCATTACATGTTTTGCTGGCTCTTTAAGATATTCATTTAATAAACGTGGAATTCGATTTAAAAATTATGAAATAACATATTGGGTCATCCCATGTAAAAACGAAGGCTATAGAATTATACGGCTCTCAAGGGCGACTATGAAGGGAAAAAATAAATCTCGTTTTCTCGTATTGCGAATCAAAATATTTCCTACCCGGAACAATGACCTGAAATTGTACAAACGGCCGTGAAAACTGTCCCAGATCCACTTCGATGTACAAGAACTCTCCGCGACAGCCTGTTTTCTGCTCGTGTTCTTTAATATAAGGCAATAACGTTCAGCTTATTCCTCATAGCGGGGTGTAAACTGACCACTCTCTCACCTTCCGGCCTACTACCTTGACGCTCCCTTTTCATCCTGGACATTGGGGTACATGGCTATATTTAAAAACTACTGAATTGTTCTTAAATGCATTAACACATTTATATTCTATTAAGTCACTCTTGTATTAGAACTAGAAGTAGTCGAAGTAACAGTAGTAGTAGTAGTGACACAAGTAGCAGCAGTAATAGTGGTAGCGGTAGTGGTAGTAATAGTGGTAGAAGGAATAGTAGTAGTATATAGTAAAGTTTCACATATGAAATTTG